TCTGGTGTTTCTATTTTGGGTTGTCTATATTCCTTTCTAGTTTCATGAATTAAACACCAACGGCTGCAAGAGTTGAACTATACTATCAATGGTATTCTGATTTGTTATGAAAATCTTTTTAATATTTTTTCTTGTTTAAAATTTACTGATATGTGAGAATTGTTTGATCTGTATATTGGTTGTAGGCTGGTGGCAGAGATGTCTCATTGGGATTGATATATCCTTGTTTCCTGGGTGCTAGGATGCTTGGCAGCACTGGATTTCCTTGATTGTTCAATGGAACCTTATCGATTCGAATGGAGGAATGCTTAACATATTTGCTTATTGGAATGGGCCTTGTTTTCTCCATAGTTGCTTATGATTATCAGGTGCACATTTGTAGGTCGTTGGTCGCTTGGAGAACATTTGTTTTATCTTTTTTAATGTAAATATTCCTAGCTTGGTGTTACTAGTTTTTGATTTTGTAATTTTATGCACAGGAAATTGGAGTTCTCGTGATGCTGTTCATATTGTTTCATGCTTGCATGGGCTTGGTTTTTCCTTCACTTGCCCAATTAAGATCAATGTAAATTATTTTTACTATACTTTTTCCTGAAAAATCCTCTTCTCTGGCTCTTGTGAATATTTTTATCGGGGCACTACATCTTTCATTCTTTTTGTAAGGGGATGATATCAGTTCCTCAAAAGTATCCTCTTCCACTACATCCTTGATCTTTTGGATAGAGTGCAAGAGGCTATTGTGGCTGGAAACATCAATTGCCACTTTCATACCGAAGGATTATTATTATTATTTTTTTTTGACATATTTCATCTTGCTACCATGTGCATAGGTATGTGCCAAATGAAGTTCGTGGAGGAATGATTAGTCTATCGCTTGTACCTGCACATGCAATATCTCTGTTTCTTCTATTACAGGTCTGTGCTGGTGTAACCACGTTGCTATAGAGTCGTGTAATGATAAATTACAACCTGTGTCTTCTGGAACTTCCTCATGATTGATTATGAGGCTATTTAGGATCGTTTTAGTATGACTTTTCTTGTCTTCCTTTATCTGTCAACTTCCAGACGGAAAATGCAACTAGAAAACGCATGATAGACATGAGAAGAGTGATTCATCGTTAAATTTGTTTCTTCCAAAGGTGAAGTAAAGTTCTAGACTAGCATGAATCTGTTTGGCTGTAGTATCTCATAATGAGGCTGGTTTGATATGGTAGTTTGCTGTTTTAGGAAGTAGTCAAGTAGGTTAATGTTTCACTATATCTCATGTTGCCAAAAAAAAGACCAAGTGATAGATGCAGAAACTCAAGGATATAATAAATCTTTATGAACGTAATGAAGTGCAAATCTCCTTCAGACAAAAAATGAGGCTGGTTTGATATGTTCGTTTGCTGTTTTAGGAAGTAGTCAAGTAGGTTAATACTTGGATGTTTGAAAATTATAGAAGCTTAATTTTTCTAGTGAATGGAAGGAGAGATCAATTTAAATTGATTTGGGAATGCCAAAATCGAGAGGAGTGTTCATTTATAGGACACATCTTAAACAGTGTTTAATCTGTGAACTGTTAGATCTCACTACTTCGGATTGGACAAGAATTGCAGCTTAAACTGTATCCTTTGAAACAGTTTACCATAACTCTTCAGTGTACATCTATGCATCTATAGGTGGTGTCCAACACTTGACATGTGAAGACGTACTCTGGCTTCTCTTGGGGGAGTCCTTCTCTCAACCCCCTTGAAGACACTTTCTGTGGTACCTAGCCACTTCATTAAATCCGTCTAGAAAATATAGGAGTGTTTATCGCTACTACCAATCTCAGCAACTGAAAAAATGAGCTAACCAACTAACTGTTATCCCGAAGACAGTTTTGTTAGCCGGACTTGATGACAGATCTAGTCAGTCAGTTCCTTTAATTTGTCTCTATTTAGTATCACCAGACAATGCAAAAATGCACCCTGAGCAGGTGGTGCAATGCACTTGAACATTAATCACCTCGTGTCAAAGATGGTTTATCGTTTCATTAAAACCTTAATTAACCATAGGACTCATTCATGAATGTCCCATGAAGTTGGCTAAAGATCATTACATTCCAACATGTCCAACACTGATATTTACTGCAATCATTGTTTCAATTCTCTTTTTTTGATTTTCTAGTTTTCTATCAGAATTCTCTTGTCATGAATTGGTGTAAGTTGCTATCATTTGATGTTGCAGGGAGGTTATTACAAGAGGTTTTGGAACTCAACTATCATAACATTTGCCGCTCTTGGTCTATTCTCCGCAGCTTGTTGCATGCATATATTGAAAAAATGGGGAAAGCAACTCCATCAGAACAGGCGTAACTTGTGAGTATCACCCTATTAACCTCAACATTTGATGGATCTCTGATTTGAGATGTCAGTTTTGTAACTTGACAATCTAAAGAAACCTGTAAATATGAAAAGAAAGATGAGAAACTGGGGAATCATACACAGCTTGCTGGAAACAAGAGAATCCATGAGGGTAAAACAGTCCATATCTTCAATTTTACATTATTCATTTCAGTCAATTGCATCTGGGCTACAATAAAGAAAAGGGCATGCCAGCATTGAAGCAACAATTTTGAGAAACAGTTTTCAGTTTTGAAGAACATTTTAGCAGATTGTATTCAACGTCCCTAGGTTTTTGCTTATCTAACTGCTGAATAGTTGGAAGTTGGAAGCACATTGTACAGGAGAGGTGAGTGGTTCATTCTTTCGAGAGCAATTTGTTTTCCCACTTTATGTTTTCAGCTTCTTCAATAGAATCGACACATCTTCAGTGCCATCAATTTGTTTACCAGTACTGACATTCAGCTGTCATTATCGATTTACCTTATTTGACGATTTTTATAACAAATGGATAAAGGTCGGAAGGAGGAGAAAGCTCCACCACGTCCATATTGAGCCACCCTTTAATCTTGTGAAAACTTAGAGAGTAAAGCTGCCCAGAAGTGTGTGGCAAAATGTTTAGATAAAAGCTAGATCTTGCTAGTGTTTCTATACGCTACAAATCTTATTGACTCCTCTGAGTTTCAACAAAAATGGATGTCGAATTTCTAATGACCAAAAATTTTATGATAATGCTTGGACCGGTGGACATACATCTAGTCTTCTTCCTGATCTTGATCTCTGATCCACTTTGTGGCTACCCATTTTACCCCATTGATCACTGGACAGCTCCCATGAAGAGATGTCTGCAGTAGTAGCAAATCAATGTGTAACAGTCAAAACTCTACACAATCATGGAAACAAACAGGAATTGATCTAAAAGTAGTAAAAGGAAAGAAGCAAAACGGTGCAAGAACTACAATTACATTTATACATAACGACTCACCGGATCAATTGTACCATTTGGGAATAGTGAGTAGAACAGAAGTCCATCTCCTTGTCGTGGCTTTACTTTCATACCCATACATTTACGATAGTCATAAGTAGCGTCCATGTTTATCCCGTTCTGTAGATCAAAGCATTGAGTGGCTGCGCATTACAACACTGAAGAAAGTAGGGACAAATAGAAGGAAGAACATGCTGGTAAATAACAAAATGATAAAAGAAAAATGATTGATCTTACCTCTAAAGGGAACGTGGTTTCACCCCCTTCTTCAACATCAGACAAGTACAACAAGAAAGAAGCTATCTGAACAATGTAAATTAAGTTGAGGTTACACTGAGTAATCATTAGACCTATTTAACAGTTTATGCATAAAATCTTGAACAAGAAACCTATTGCATTAACTAGCTTAGGAAGATCTCTCTGTGGGAAATCTTGTGCTGTTTTTAAGTTCAGCTAGTGACTTTTGAAAGGAAAGCAAAATCAATACAGAGATGCAATTGTGCTGCACATGATTGACACGAACATTTAATCCTTAGATCTATCACCAATTTCAGCCCCTTTTTAGTCCATCAGGCACTAAACCATTACTCACAGAAAATATTGTATGAATGAATTCTAATATCTTGCTTGCATTACCCTTTGGCTCTTCTGTGGACCATATTCAGCAGGATTGAAAGCATCATAATGAGAATGATATCTCTGACCGACCTCATAACGCAAGACGTTGAAGGCCTGAAAAATGGTACGTGCATTATTTAGAGAACTTTTAAGATTTAACTATAATCAATGATTTACCTAATTCAACTCAAATAACATCATGCAAGTGCTTGAAGCGAACAATTAAGCATAATGAATAGAAACCAATTTTAGTAAGTTATTTACTGAACCACAAAACCATCGGAAAGCTAAAATTCAAGCTCGCTCTCCTATGATAATATCGACATTATGTTTTATTGAGAGTGCAAAAGGATTTCTCAATCATACCATTTATAAAATGTGTACTTCCGTACAGCGAGATAAAAGTAATGATGTAGCATAAGTCACATTACCTCTCCATGGGTTCTGGGTATCATTGTTACTTTTGCAATTTTTGCCTCAATCTGATGCAGGATTCCAGTTTTGTCTTCAGATGCACTTATAAACATGCCAGAACTGAGAGCAAAGAAAATCACAATTTAAAATGTATCACATAAACTTGCTGGTGCCAGAATGGCAAAGTATTTTAATGCTTTAGGACCTGTTTGATAGGTGCCAATTTGAATATATTTTTCAACTTTCCACTTTTTGCCATGCTTGATCGGTAAAATATTCCATGTAATTTGTTTTCCAACGAAGCCTCACGTGCCTTTTCCTTGTTTTTGAGGAATTGGTCTTCCCACCACTTTGGTGGGAATTGGGGTTTTCCAGCTTTTTTTTTTTTTTTTTTTCGCAATGAAATTGAATTCTATCACTAATTATAAATTTTTTTTTTCCTTTAATGGACAATTTCCATCGAAAACAAAACCAAACGAACATCAAAGGATCCAAAATTTCAACATTTTCAAGGTAGAAAATTATACAAATCAAACACAATTAATTGACAATTCCCAATAATATGAATTCTAGGCAAATTTCATCATTGCAATCAAACGGACCCTTAGAGCCCCACAACAAATGAAGCAAATTGCATGACCTCATCGTTACGCCTTTTCATGCGGGTAAGAATTTACCCGACAAGGAATTTTACTACCTTAGGACCGTTATAGTTATGGCGCAAAGTTCAATACAGAAACAGAATTTAAAAATACCATACGAGCATAAAATAACACATATGCTTACTAATGGCCGGCCGTTTGATTCCAGTTGGAAATAGTAATTACCTTGTCCTAATTCCTTTGGTATTTTCAGCTGTTTCTCCCTCGCGTAGAGCTAAGGAAGATGGTTCAAGGTGTGCCTTTGCAGTTTCGATTATGCTTTCACATTGTTCTGCACTAGCAAAATTTGGAAAGTACAATGCTCGTGGATTCCAGCTCAAAATCTGTGTGAGAGCAATTAAGGAACAATATTATTATTCAAAAGAAAAGAAAGCAAATACTCACAACCATCAGATTCTGCGGATGATAAACTCGAATATTTATGTTTAGACTCAATAACAAGAATTGTGGTTTCAAATGTACTGATTTCCTTCTGTTTTCAGCTTATTGTTGAACAGTTCAAATTTTATATCAAATTCCATTTTTAGTATGCATCGGAGATCTATTGGAGTGTGTTTGATTGCAATGGTAAAAAATGAGTGGAAAGAAAATATTTTACAGGGAAAAGATTTGCCTAGAAAGTGTTTTGCAGGAAAAATGATTTTACGTGTGTTTGATTGGTATAATTTTCCACTCGAAAAATTTTTAAATTTTATATTCGTTTGGCTATGTTTTACATGGAAAGTGTTTGTTAAAGTGATATTTTTTTCCACAATTGGTTATAAAATTTGTTTCAATTGATAATAAAAAAAGGGGAAAAAAATTTGTTTTCTAAAAAATCATTTTTTTAATCAAAGTTTAGTGTTCGTTTGACTTTGTTTTACATGAAAATTGTCTATTAAAGTGAAATTTTTTTTTTACCATTAGTTATAACATTTGTTTCCATTGCCGAAAAAAAAAATTTTCCAGTCAGCCTGGAAATTTTTTTTCCATCAATTTTCATCAAAAATCTGGAAAATGCACACATGTGGAGGAAAGAAAGAAAATATGGAAAATTTCGAATATCAAACAGTCAAAAAAGTGGAAAGTGAAAAATAACTCCCGGAAAATTTGGCGCATCAAACAGGCTTTAGTGGCAGTGAATTTCAAGCAACGTCAATGCAGGAGGGACAATTAGAATTTCATTTAACCACTTAAGACCTGCCCAGAAAATTAGACTCCAGAAACGCTATACAATTCAATAAAAGAGACAATCAAAACTTACCTGAAAAGGAATCGAAGTGAGAGTATCCTCTCCTGTCTCTCCCCGCGGCAGAGCATCAAACTCTTTCTTCTTCTCTTCCTGCAGTCCCCGAGGCCAATGCCTTAAAGAAGTAGTTGACACTTCCTGTCGCAGATATAAATTATAATCAATTTTAAGCGTAGAATCGCTTTAATGTGAAAACAATAATCAACATATTAGCGATAAGCCGAAATTGAAGGGATGCCGGACCTGCTGAGAGAAGAGACTAGAACCAAAGAACCCAGCAAGAAAAAAGAATATGCATAGCAAGAAAATCGATGGTAACCCTAAAATCATCCAATTTGCTCCTGCAAGTTTACTTCCTTTGTTCTTCATTTCATCAAAAAGTTCAATGGCGACTAGTCTTATTCTTTCTACAGCAACTTAGTAAATACAGTTTTCTTTTGTGCTTTTTCTCTTCTTTTGATGCTTTCGAGAATTCAAAGTTTTATACTATGCTTCAACTTTCAAATGCAGCAATCAAATCGATCATGACTTTTGTACGACTTGTCTTCCGTACGCGGCGGGAAGAGACATTTGGGTAAAATAACAAAGGAGGTCCCCAAACTTTCTTTCATGGTTGAAAGCTTATCCCTCAAGTTTCAATTTAGTTTCAATTTTAATAAAAGTCAACAATAACAACTAATTTTTTAATTTTAATCCGATTTTAATCTCTACCAAACACACTCATGGTTTGAAACTTATTCCTCAAGTTTCAATTTAGTTTCAGTTTAATTACCAAAAACCATTATATCGAAAAATTTACAAGTCCTCTCTTACAATGTAGGCAAACTTAGTTTGCTAAGTCGGTTGGACAATGATGAAAACTCACACTTTTAACAGGAAAAATCATGCTACTAATATGTGATTTTTAACAAAATTATATGTTATATAAATATAAATTTCACAAGTAGAAGGATGCACAATTGGATGACACTAACGATCGTATTGTCCACATAAGAAATTCGTCTGTTACGTAGAAAAAGATGCTAAGAGTTTGTGAAGGTATCACTATTGATGACAAATCTAAACAAAATAAAAGCTTGAGCGAAGAGTTTGGAACAAGAAAGTTAGTGACTAAAATAAAATAATGTTGAAAGTTCAGGTATTTTTCACCCGTTACTTGGCATCGATTTTTTAAAACTTATGAACTTTTTAACAACATATTTATCGACTTCTATAAAAAATTAGTAAAAATTAAATTTTAGTTGAACCAAACAAGACTTGGCGCTTGTCTGGAACGGATTCTATTCAGATTTTTAGCATACATTAGAACGTTATACATGGTCAGTGGAT